TTTTTTTTTTTTTTTTTTTTTTAAGATGGGCTTTCACCATGATGGCCCGGCTGATCTTGAACTCCTAACCTCAGGTGATCCACTCACCTTGGCCTCCCAAAGTGCTAGGATTACATGCGTGAGCTACCACGCCCGGCCAAAAAATATTTTAAAAACTTATTTTTTTTTTGGTAGAGATGAGAGTCTCTCACTGTGTTGTCCAGGCTGGTCCTGAACTCCTGAGCTCAAATGATTCTTCCCCCTCAGCCTTCCCAAGTGCTGGGATTACAGACATGAGCCACCATGCCAAGCTTGTTTTGATGTCTTTGTTCACCTAAAACAGCAGGTGGGTTTGACTGCTGTCCACTCTACCTCTACCATCATCAATTCTGTGGGGGACATAAAATTTCCTGCTCTAGGGTAAGAGGTCACATGGATTAGGGGAAAACAGGTGGCAAACCACTGAATGAAAAACAAACACTCTTAGGTAATATTTACTATGTTCCAGACACAATTCTAATCCCTTTACATATGTTATCTCGTTAATCTTTGTAACAGCCTGTAACTTGAATAATTTTATTATCCGTGTCTTATAGATGAGGAAATGGGGGCACACAGGGCTAAGTAACTTGCTCAAGATTCACAGATGGTGGGTGAGTGGTCGAGTCAGAATCCAAGCAGAAACTGTTCCTCATGCTCAGCTGCCTCTAAAAGTTGATGGTTAACAAGCAGAAAAAAAGGCACTGAAGCAGATACACATCCTCATGGGAACACAGACACACTGCCCTCTTTCTCTTTCACTCTCTCTTTTTCTTCCTTCCTCTTTCTTTCTATCCCTCTTTTCCCTTCTTCAGGGAACCTGTCATCTTCATATACTGATAGCATCTACATCTAGTGACCTCTCAAGGTCTTTCTTATTTCAAGTCCCTTGTAGTTTTTTGAATCTCTTTCTGTTTCATCACCATGTTTTCAGTTTACAGTCAGCATCCAGACTCTGGAGAGAAGGGATTTCACCTCTTTTGCAAAAGCATCTGATTTATATTTGTAGGCTTAGGACAAACAGAGAGATCAAGCCACACACTCCATAAGCAATGCAAACATGGCCGCAACACTGCCCGTCACTCAGAACTACATATCCCAGAGTGCAGCGGGGGAGGTTGATG